GACCGGGAATTGGGGAAGGGAGCGGTTCAACTATCACCGGTTTTATGTCTATTTCTAAACCGGATCGAACCGGCCGGTTTTTACAAAAATCCGGTTGAACCGGTTCAATTAAACCGGTTGAACCGGTTAAATTGAATAAAAACACATGTAATTGAAACCTTTTGCATAATAAACTTTGGTAGTTTTTTCACATTTATTGAAATTTTTTTGAATAAAAACAAATGATAAATGTTATGAAGTTTTTTTATGCGTTTATATTCATCTAGGACTTTATTTTCTTTTTAATGCACTAGGATTGATGTAAAATTTATGGTTATGAGTTATTTTAATATATTTAGATTGATCTACAACTTGTTTTCATGTATATTTTAATGTTTGAACTTGTGGACATCAAATTCTTGATTTGTGTATGTATGTATGTGTATGAAAATACGAAAAAAGATGAAAACTATAGAAACCGGCTTACTCAGCGGTCGAACCGGTTAAACCGGAAACCGGTAGTCATACCGGTTCAACTAAAAAACCGGTTTTTAAAACATTGGATTAGATTTGATTTTTTTTCAGTGATCTTCGGGAATTCCGTTAATTGTTAATAACTAAATTCAGAGGAATTACTAATCTAACCATTTTCATTAATTACCTATCCAAAAATAATCAAAAAAAGACTTTAGCCAAAACTAGCCCCTGAAAGAGTATATGGTTAGAGTTGACTACGGTCAAAGGGGGGTAATCTACTGTTTTATGGCAATGGGATATTGTTTCTCGGCTCGTCTACTCTTTCGTGGCTCATCGGTCCATAGTATATAATGTATAATTTTTCAGATTATGTTACTTTTTAGTATTTTTTTTTCTTGGTTTGCCTATTATTTTCTCTCAATTGAACACCCGAAGAACAACGAGTTACGTCTAATTTTTAGCAAAATTTAACCGTATTCTTGATTAGAAGTAGTTTTTGTACATGGGTATAACTTTTTTTTAAAAAAACGAAAAAAAAAGTATTAAAACCGTAGACTTCATACGAAACCTATGGTGTACAAGTCCACGATGCACAGGTTGTGCAGTGTGGACTTGTACACCGTAGGTTTCGTATGAAACCTACGGATTTTTTTTTCGTTTTTTTTAAATGTTGTAACCTGTAACCAATGATTATGATTCCATGATTTTTTTAAAAAAACTTAAAAAAAAATAAGTGAAACGTAGGTTTTTTGGAAACCTACGGTGTACAATCAATTAATGACAGTTTGTGCATTAAAAAGTTGTACACCGTAGGTTCCCTTAAACCTATGGGTTTCTTTTCGATTTTTTTAAAAAAAAGGTTATAACCAATAAAAAAACTACTCTATATTTTACAAACAATATTTTTTATCAAAATAATTCTAAAAAAACTACTTTCCATTTAATTTTTTTTTTTTTAAAAAAAATTAAAACCGTAGACTTTAATCCAGAACAGTAGGCTACGGTTTAGGAAATCGTAGTTTGTCGAGAGAAACCATAGGTTTTAAAATAACCTACGGTTTTAGATGTTCAAAATGAAAAAAAAAATATACTTAACCCAAAAAAGTAAACTATTTGGCGAAACAGTAGCACACTCTAATTACGGTTTCGTGGGCTATTTTTGGATAATTGTTAATTTTTGGCTAAAAATGGTTAAGTAATTACTTAATTAGGCTACATTAGTAATTTCCTCCTAAATTTAATGGTATACATATACCGTAAGCTCAAAAACCGCTTAAAACTAGGGGGCCTAATTAGTCATTTTGAAGATATTTTCATAATTAAATTAGAATATATATATACTGGTACAAGAAACCTCAAAACCTCCGCGACTGTTATCAGATATTGGTATTGGTCGTAACTATAACTATATATATATATATATATATATATATATATATATCTTCCTACTTTTTATTCCTACAAATCCTCCTACCCAATTAAATACTAACATGTGTAACATTAAATACTCATTTAATGATATTTTAATATACCAATATGACATATGTCATCATTTAAATTGATAGGAAGATTAGTAAAAATAAAAGGTAGAATGATATTTAATTTCTTTTATAAGTAATAACAGTGCAAAAGCATAATAATTAAATTATACATTTATGTGTCACAGTTGCTAATATATCATTTTATAAAATGAATAAGTTTATTTAAACAAATAACAATAATGAAACATTATGATAAATTAATAATTAATATCTATTATAATATAACACTATATTATAACCTCTAATATTGATATGTTTAGACTTGCTTTTGACTATAACATAAAAAGTTAATGTTATCAGTTATTTATAATAAAATGTAGGGGTGTTTGCGGTGCGGTTTAGAGTTAACACCGCAAACCGTGCCGATTTGAATTTTTTGGGAACCGTAAACCACAACGCAAGAGTCCGGTACTACATTATATGGTGTGGTTTGTACACTTTTAGACGGTTTTGCGGTTTAATAAACATCCTACTTTATATTATTGCACATTTTCAGTATTTAGTATGGATTAACCTAACTTAATTACTAATTAACTTAATATTTTCAATATAAACTAAGGCTAAAAATAATATTATATCTAAATATTTGCAACAATGCCCTCCCTCCGGTGAAAGACAAAATGTTAACATTAATAAATTTTTTCTTTAAATAAATTATATTTACATTTATATTAATAATATTTTATGGAAGATCTATGTTTTCCTAAGTCTCATGTTCGGAGCTGCTCTTGAAGTCTAACTCGAGCATTGTTTTGACAACAAATATTAAAGAGAATCACCTAAATTAAGATAATAAAAGTAAAATTATATATGGCATTTAATATATATATATATATACATACATGCGGTGTGGTGCAGTTTGATATTATATGAAAGGGGGAATGGTATTTTGCGTAATTTTAAAGGAAAACTGCAAAAAAATTCTTACATATTGGCCTCAAAATCGATTTAGTCATTATATATTTTTTATTCAATTAAGTTCTAAAAACCGGTTGTATTCAATTTAACTCTTTTACCTGGTCAACAGGTCGTCCGACTTTCAAAAATTACACGTTCGGCCCAGATTTCAGAATTTTATAACAAATTTGGTCTAAAATTTACACTTTTAGCCCAGATTTTAAATTTTATTACAAATTTGGTCAAAATTTTACCATTTTGGCCTAGATTTCTGAATTTTGTTATGAATTCATCATAACTTTAGTTTTTTTACAACTTTTTTTCTCAAAAAAAAAATTCAAATATGTTTTTTCTTAAAAAAATCATATTTACAAAAAAAAAAAAAAAAAAAAAAAAAAAAAAAAAAAAAAAAACAACATATTTTCTCATAAAAAATCTTATATTTTCTATATAAAAAAAAATTTAAAAACTTTTTTGTATACAAAATACCTATTTATTAAAAATAGGTATTTATTAAGTACATAAATATATACAAATTCGTTTTTATAAAAAAATATATATATACAAACACATATTTTACAATATATATATATATATATATATATATATATATATATATATATATATATATATATATATATATATATACAAACACCTATTTTATTATAAATATATTTGTATACAAACACCTATTTAAAAGTAAACGTGTGTATGTATGTGTGTGTGTGTGTGTATATATATATATATATATATATATATATATATATATATGTATATGCATTTTACCCACGCTAAACGATGGTGTGAATAGTTTCTTTCGGTATTATTTCTATTCGGTAACATGTATGATCGGGCACCCAACTTTGACACGAAGGTAATAAAGAGGCAAACCCCTAACAGTGAAATCTAATTTTCTTTGGACGATGGTAACTTATAACTTGGATATTAACCCATTTTGATATATTATTTTGGGTTTGAAACAAAAATATAACGTTGTGTGGGTTGAAAAAAAAGTTGTATGACAATAATTTTTATTTTTTTAATTTGAAGACGCATATTTTTTATCAGTGATCAAATTTCCTTTGAATTTTGAATATGAGTTATTATTTTATGGTATTAATTCTTATATAACTATTATATAGAGTATACATTTAAAAAGATAATTTAATTGTCGATAATTTACTTCTCAAATGATGTTTTTTATCAAAAACATGTTTGTATATTTTTTTTTATAAAAATATTTTTGTATACATTTGTTTATAAAAATGTGTTTGAATATATTTTTATAAAATACATGTTTGTATACATTTTATATATAAACGTGTTTGAATACAAATGTGTTTATTATAAAATAGGTGTTTATAAAAAATATATAAATAGATTTTTACAAAAGAAATGTATACAAACACTTATTTGGGTATATATAAATATGTTTTTACAATATGTATTTATCATAAAATAGATGTTTGTATACATTTTTTTCTTGTAAAATACATGTTTGTATATTTTTTTTTATTAAAATGTATTTGTATATATTTATGTACATAATAAATACTTATTTTTCTAAATAGATATTTCGTATACAGAAAAGTTTTTTTTTTTTAAAAAGTTTTTATATAGAAAATATAAGATTTTTTATGTGAAAATATGTTTTTTTTGTATAAATATGATTTTATAAAGAAAAAATATATTCGAAATTTTTTTTGAGAAAAAATGTTGTAAAAAAACTAAAGTTATGATGAATTCATAACAAAATTCTGAAATTTGAGCAAGGTAAATTTTGGACCAAATTTGTAATAAAATTTAAAATCTGGGCCAAAAATGTAAATTTTGGACCAAATTTGTAGAAAGAAAAAAAAATCTAGGCCAAAAGTGTAATTTTTAAAAGTAGATCCGAGTAAAATAGTCAATTTGGATACGATTACCGGTTTTTGGGACTTTAAGTGAATAAAAAAATATATAATGACTAAATCAATTATGAGGCCAATATGTAAGGATTTTTTTGCAGTTTTCCCTAACTTTAATGGGTCTATGTTACCAATTAAAGCTATGCGTATCTCCACATTACTAAAGGAAAACATAAAGAAGACATTTGGCTTCTTGAGATGGAGAATAAAGTGCAAATATACAGATATTGATGATTGCTGAATCCCTTCAGACAAACATATATTCAGAGAAAGCAGCAGCAGCTATAAGTCCAATTAGTGTGATAATGGATACAATATTTGTGATTGTTGAGGAAGAAGCCGATGAGAAGTAAATTTTGTGGGAGTTGCAGTCACCCCTGAACCCTCTCACATTCATTGCCTACATCAACAGTCAACACCAACACTAAGTAAATTATAAATAAAATGCAAGAAAGATATAGCAAACTACTTTCCTTTCATTGTAGTTTCGATTGTTTTCTTATTATTTAAAGCATTCTACTTTGGATATTCTTATAGCATTGTATTTTCAATATATCTTTTTTTTTCTTAGGGAATAGGGAGTGTGTTAACATTAAATTTGGACTACTAATTCAAAAATGTACACACTACATTACATCAAGTTACCAACTTTCCTTTTTACAATTTTGACCTGTGTTTAAATGTTTGTTACGATTTTTACCCAAACTTTTTTAATAAATTTGCATTGACTTTTTTTACAACTTTGTGTTTACATGTTTTTTAGAACTTAGTTAAAATAGTTGTAAAAAAACAAGTAAAACCAAAGTTGTGAAAGAGTTGGTGCAAATTTGTAAAAATGTTTGGGCCAAATTCATAAAAAAAATTAACATTTGGGTCAAAATTGAAAAAATAATAATAATAATAATAATAATAATGACAACCTGTGTACCTATACATTATAGCAGGGACCAATCCAGGACATTTAAAACCAAATTTGGTGTTAACCCTTTTTTCTTATTATGAAATTATACTTTAAAAAATCTAAGAGAAATTATAGTAGTGAAAATCACTTTGTACTTCGATGACATTGTTATAATTGGTATATTTTTCAAAGTATGATGTTGCAATAGTAAGAAATGAAATTAGGAATGATATAATAAACAAATCAATAAAAGTAAATTGCTACTTCTTGCATTTAGCCATTCTAATTCACTGAAAAATATAACAATCAAGAAGAAGTGAAGAACAAATAATTCAAACCTGGGTTATCTGCTCCGCATGATTAAAAATATTTTTGAAGATCCGACGAATGTACGTAAAAAAAACTGCAATTCCACAAGAGAAAATTGGGTGATTTCTCAACATCGAACCAAACATAAATCAAAAACATAATTAGTCTTCAAGATCAATGAGGTTCTGTTAGGCTTTCTAGGGCTATTTTCAATGATGAGGGCATTTATGTCTTTCTCATAGATCATAATCTATCTTTTCGGGTGAGACCAATAACTGCAATTAATCTCCCATTCACATCACTCGGTCACTACTAGTCTAATCTATGCCAAACACAGTATAACTTGTTCTGTCTGCTCTGTCATGTCATGTCATGTTATGTCATGCCATGTGTCACATGATGTATTTGAGATGTGGATTTACCTTCGACTGTCTCCATAGTAGCCAGTTGTTTCCAATTTATCCTCCGTGATACAATTCCCAATGCAACAATCCGAACCTACCATGAACATAGTAAATTTCACAATTTATGATTCGATTCTTTCTAATAATAAATCTCAAAAATAGCATCCACCTCACCTCATCAAAGACTAGGTTGATAAATCTCAATGATAGAAGAAGAGTAAGAATAACTTCAGCAACTGGGACACCAACATACACCAAAGGCTTCATAAACCATTGTAAAGCAAATGCTAGTTGTTCTGGTGTAGTAGTTGTCAAACAAAGACTTGCACTTTGAAAAATCTACAACCAAAATCACAATATAGGCAATGTATTATTTTTTACTCATAAGGTGATGTTTTAAAAGAAAAAGAAAAAGAAACTTACAGTGAAGGTTAAGCAAGCAGATGTGCTAGCTACAGATAATCCTTTTCTTGTAAGTTGAAAAGGTCCTAATTTGAAGAGTAGATATGAATAACCTTGAAAAGATGGTGGAATATTTGGTAATCCCATCATTGAAGGTGGTGGGGTTCTTGATTGGACAACCATGGGAACACTATCTGCACCTAACCCTAACATTATGAACAGAATCCCAGATAACAGGGCAACTCTTCCTAGTTGATCCTACAAATAGTATTTGGGATTCAAGAAAAGAGTATGTTATAAGGAAACTTTGTTGTGTTATAATGATGGTGATGGAATTTTCTATAAAGTTGAAGAATTTATATTTTTTGACATTATTGGGTATAAGAAAAATGGTGATACATTATACATACCATCCAAACTTGTCTTGGTAGTATCCATGCAGACAATAGAGCAAGAAAAGAGATTAATCCAAAACGCATGTATATATGAGATCTTGCAGGTAAAACAACTAACACAAGAAGCCATGCCTGCAAAAAAAGAAATATAGGAACTTTAAAGAGTGGGAATGATGTATTTAAATCTTCCTGTGAAGTAATTATTATGCACACTAGAGAATACTACTTGAATCTTGAGTAGAGGATGTCAGTATCACCAATGAACTAACTCCATTAATGAGAAGTGAATGGTTATCGATGCCCTAAATTGCTCGAGATAACCAATTTAGGGTTGAAATTGAGATTTTACAATGTAATGTGATGAAGAGAAGTGTGATTGGAATAGAGAAAATCATTATGTGAAATCAAATACTTAAAAAGTGAGGTCATTCCTCAGGTAAATGGTCCTTCAACTTGGTTGTGAGTGTTTTATAAGAACCCGGTTTCAAATTGAGTTCTTTCTGTCACTCTAGCTTTCACAAAAACCTAGATTTAGGATACACGAACAAACCCATCGAAATCATGAATAATATCCATGAATTTATTGAACTAATTCGTTAACGAGCATAGAATGTAATGAAATTTAACTTTGGCAAAGAAAAACAAATTGAAAACAGCATCCAAAGTTCAAAATCCACGACCCAATTGAACACGCTTGCGAAAAGAAGTAGTAGGAAAAATAATGAAACTAACCAGTTTTATTCTGGGATCCACGGAGTGCAAGAAAGTAGTGGGTGAAGATATGAACTGACAAATTGGACTAGAAGTTGCCCCTGCAATCGACCTGAGGATTTTCTCAGCTGAGATAATATTTTTTGGTAACAGTCGCTCCCATTTTGGTGGATTAGAATCGCTATTTTCTGTACATTTGATACGGGTTTTAAACAGGGTTTTTCGGTTGTAAGAAAGGGATGAATAAGTATGCTTAGGAATGTTTGGGGTTTGGGGAAATTGAGAATGATGAATGAAGAAGATAAGGGGATTTTGAGAAGAGTGTGAATGGGATGCGAAATTGGTGGTTGGGTGGATTTGGAGAAGTGGGGTGTACATTTAGATGACTGTTAAGAGAAAAGCTTTGCTTCAAATTGGCTTACACTGCAGAGGTGGCTGTCATCGGCTCATCGCCATCTCCGTGAATTTTTTAGGGAGCGATGAACGAGAACAACGATTCTACGTTGCTGTGTGGCCGTCAGCGTTTATGTGTTGATATCTCCGGCGGTAAGTGATGGCGATGAAACGGAGTCAATATTACTCTTCAGCATGGCCTACTTGAAGTCCAAAGTTCGAAATCTAGACCAACATTTTTCTTTTTTTTAAGTAAGAAAAAGTAAATACCCTCCTACTATGCAAAAAAAAAAAAAAAAAGTTTTTTACATATTGGCCTAATTATAATGCTTTTGTAAAAAATTTCCTAAAGATCCAATTCTTTTTCTTTAGATCTTTTGACAAGGAAACTAAGAGGGTGTTTGATTTTCATTTTTAATCATCTTTTTTATTTTTAATTTTTTTAAAAGTTAAAAATTACCAAAAGTTGTTTGGTAAATTAAAAAGTTCTTTTAAAATCAACTTTTAGTTAATAAGGAAAAGTTGGCTGGACAAAAGATAGGAATTTCTATTTTTTGTGACTTTTAGTTTTTATCACTTAAAAGTCTTAAAAGTCAAGTCAAACACATTTTAAACACTTTTTTTTAGTAAAAGTTCTTTTACAAAAAGTCCTTTTATAAAAAGAACTTTTATGTTTAAAAAGTAATCCCAAACACACCATGAGGCCGAAGGCATGATAAATCTAGTTAATGTAGCAATTCAAAAAGGTCGAACCCAAACAACTCAGGATATAGGACATATGGGTCATAGTATCGACAATAATATGGTGGTAGCAATTGATATGGGTGTGGAAATGTTAAAATTAGATCATAAATACATAGATGAAACTAATATACAATGAAATAAGGACGTGACATAATTATTGTCCTTGAGGAATTTTAGTTGAACGTGATGTTTGAGACCTTTGTACATACTTTGATTTTTTAATATATTATGAGAAAATTCATGAAATGACCAAATTATAGGGTGTGTACGAAGAATGTGACCATGATAACCTAAGATTTGTAAAATGACCATGACTTTCGCAGAGACCTTCTCTGCGGAAGCCTATAGCTCTGAAGAATGTGAACAGCAATGAGGAAATGAGGTGGAAAAAAAAACAAAAACAAAAAAACAACAATTTTTTTTAAAAAAATGCAATTCCGCGGAGGCTTCTGTGGATCCGAAAAAATGTCCTCTGCAGTTTGTTCTTCATCCGCACACCACTGAAGAACTGTTCTTCGGCTAACCATGGCAAAAATTGGGATTTCCTAAATGTTTCTTATCAATTAAACTAGGATACACCCTAAAGAGCATATAATTGATTCAAGAAAGATAATGGTACTCAAAATCGTAAAATAAATAAATAAATAAAAATAAATAAATAAATAAATAAAAATTAAAATAACGCAACAATCTGTAACAACAATCTTTCTTCGATCGTTCGATTGTTCGTGTTCCGGCCTTCGTTCCGCAGCAACGTTCCCCCAAACGGCCTAAGCCGTTCGCACTTCCGCAGCCAAGCAAGTAGGCACCGGATTTTTTTTGTGTGATTTTACAATATTACCCCTGTCACCTCAATTCCTCAGAGACAGTACTATTCCTCATAGGTTTAAGGCTTCTGCAGAGCCCCCCTCTGCGGAAGTCATGGTCATTTTACAAAACATGATTTTTCATGGTTAAAATCTTCAAATAACCCATTTCCTATGGTCATTTCATGAATTTTCTCATATATTATTATTCTTTTTTATAAATGGTTATTTCAAATAGTTCATACAAAGGGTATTCTAAATATATACACATATTGTCTAAGAGTGTATGAGAAATTAAAATTCATACAAGCATGGTATGTCTTGTTCCTGACCTCCCTCTACAGGGTCATACCATATTGTCTAAGAGTGTACGAGAAAGTAAAATTCATATCAAGGCTTGTACTTGACGCCAAGCTTTGACAAAATATCGTCTTAAGTTACATATGTATAAAAAAAATGAAAAAAAATGAATATATATATATATATATATATATATATATTGATTATATATAAAATTGTCGCCTTAAGTCATGCTTTACAAACGACTGGCTTTCCACAGCTCAAAAAAGTTTGAGGCTTGACATTGTCGCCAAGTCACGCCTTACGTTATTTAGAACTTTGATATTGTTAGGCATTGTACATTATGTCAAAGGAGTCTTAAGGTTGTATCACTTTGGTTTAAATAAATATGTCAAACAATAACATCCATATGGATTGTATGGAGGCTCAGATAGCATGCATCACTACTTATAATACCTACCCTTTGTTTAGCAAAGTTCGAACCAAACTTAGAATGCAACACTTATATCTACATCAGCGTATTGCATGTATATTCATTCAAAAATCGATAACCAACAACTAATACAACATTTACACTTCTTATGAAGTAGTACCGAAGCATAATGAGATCATGATTCATAATAGACTCCATGTAACATCATGTTTCCTTCTATTTTTGGGCCGTGGGCCGGAAGTCGATTGTGTAAGGCTTTGGGCCTTAAAGAGGAAAAGTTTAGTCCTTATGGAAGGAGGTACTGATAGTTAAGAGATTTAACCCTTGAATTGTGTTTTGGGCCGAAGGGTAAAAAAGGGAAAAGTCATAGATCGGGTTCTTGCATGAAATATGGATTTTTGTTCGAAAAATTTTTAGACCAGGACATTTATATAATATTGTGGGGCTCCTCAACTTTCCGTGGATATAAAGATCGTCAAAATCGAAGTTGTAACGAAGAAGTTATGATCGTTGAAGTTAGGACGGTTTTGGGTTAAGCCACATACGTTGGGCGTACCGGGGCGTACACTAGGCGTACTACACAAGACCAATCGCGGAGGACAAACCTAGTACGTTGGGCGTACCAGGCGTATGTTGGGTGTACGCGATCAAATGCCAAACCCTAATTTGAGAGTTTTGATCCCTATTCAAGCTCCTTAACTCCCCCAAACCCTTCTCATTTTCAGCCTCCATCCCTTCAACGTCCTTCCTGGAAACCCTAACCCTAGTTTGAGCCTTGTGAGCAAAAAGAATGTGTTGTAATGTGCTTTGGAGTGTTCTTGGTGCATCTTGGAGAAGAAGGAGCTCATTGGATAAATGTTGGTTGCATTGGAGCTTATAGATCCTGACCTTGTTCACCTTGATCTTTCTTTTGGAGGTGTAAATCTTGAATTTTGATGATGTATTTGTTAGATCTAACTATTTTTGGATGAGCTTTTGGTTATTTTTAGTACATAAAGTTTAGATCTTGAAAGTTTGTGACCTTGTTATGGATAAAGTTGGAAACTTTACCCATCTAAACATCATATTGATTCAGATCTGAATGTTGGAGACTTGGACTTAATGGATTGAGTTGGAAAAGATGCACTTTTGGTCCCTTTGAGACTTAAAGATTGAATCTTGGTTGTTGGGGCCATTCTAATGGATAAAGTTGGAAACTTTATCCATTATGGGGCCATTAGGAACCATAAAAATGTAATTTTGATCATTAGGTCCCCTTCCATGCATGAGTTGGGATGTCTTAATGAGTTTAGAAGTTAGGGTTTTTGGTATTGAGCACTTAATAGCCATGAAAGACCATAAAGTTGGAAACTTTATGGTTAAGAACAATATTCGAGGACTAGATCTGGAATTTGGACAAAAGAGCTTAAGGAATGAAGCTCTTAATAGAAGGGAAGGAAGCAGTTGAGTACGTTGGGGTGTACCCCAGGTACGCTACACTTACGAGGTCAAAGACCCCATTTCTGGTCAAGGCTCGAGTACGCTAAGTGTACAAGCTGAGTACGTTGTGGACCCAATATGCGATATATGTGGCAATCCAACCGGGAGGTTGTGGGCCAGAGTAATCCAACCGGGAGGTTGTGGACCCAATATGCGATATGTATGGCAATCCAACCGGGAGGTTGTGGGCCATGGTAATCCAACCGGGAGCTTGTGGACCCAATATGTGATATATAGGGCAATCCAACCAGGAGGTTGTGGGCCAGAGCAATCCAATTGGGAAGTTGTAGGCCAGAGCAATCCAATTGGATTGTAGGCCAGGGTAATCCAACCGGGAGGTTGTGGACCCAGCATGCATGATTGCATATGTTATATGTTTGTGTGGTGGTATTTTGGGGGGGGAACTCACTAAGCTTCGTGCTTATAGTTTCAGTTTTATGTTTCATGTACTTCAGATGATCGGGACAAGGCGAAGGCATGATCGTGCACATCCTCTTGGTTTTGATGATACTGATTTAGGGACACTCTGCTATATATGATTTCTATTTTTGAGAACAATGTTTTGTAAATGAATGGTTTTGATTTGGATGGTATCTGAAAAGAATGATTTTACTTGATTTAAAAATGAAAATTTTTGTCTTGATTTTTGGGATGTTACACTCCATACGACTTGTACGATGTCCATACAACTCGTGACATACACCATATGTCTTACTTATGTGGTGTCATGTAAATCCCATACCAAAAGTTACTATAAATTTTGGTAAGGCGTTGTTTTCCAGAAGTTACAAAAATCACTCAAAACATAAGCCTTTCAATCTATAGGTTAATTGGGTGGGGTGTTACATATATTTGGATGTCCACTAGCATCACCAAAGTGTTTTGGAAAACTAATAACATCACTAAACATCATGTTTCATTCCATAAATAATCAAAAATTAAGATGTTATGTTTAAAGGAATGAAAATTTACCTTAACACAGTGGTTCTACAATTTTTTTTCTAGCGGAAATCGAGTTCTTGATTCCCCAATGAGAATGAAAGCACCAATTTCCTCTATTCATTCCTCAATTGTGAAAATTGTCTTATGCTTATTTGTCCTTTCTTCTCGGTTGATCTGAACAACAAAAGGGATGGCAATAAAGGTTAATATCATTATATATCCCTTACCATATAGTCATTTTTCATTTTAATTAGACAAAACTGCAAAATGATCCCTATGATATGCATTTTTCTGAGGTTTGGTCCAAACCTCGATTTTTTTGGATTGGTGGTCATTTTGAGCTACTTTGGTTGTGGTTTTGGTCACCCGCTAAACTTAAATTACTAATATGCCCTCCTTATATTTTTTTTAATCTTTTTTCTATTTAATTTAATGTTTTATTAAATTAAAATATAGGGCCCATGCCTC